CGGCCCGGAGGTCCCGGCGGCGTCGCGGCGATCGGCGGCGGGGCGGCCGAGGCCGCTAAGTGAGTTTGCCGTCGCTCCCCGACGTCCAAATGGGACTACAGGCGTTAAAAATTAAATAACGCGCGAATGCATTTACTTAGTTTCCCTCTTATAAAGGGAAATGAAAACAGGGAATAGAATTTTCCTTTTAATAGAATGTAATGGTATTTGATCAGCACCTGGTAGGGCGAGCCCGCGATTCCGGGAGCGGTGACACGGAGGCACTTTATTAGTTTTTAAAGCTCGGGATTCAATTACCGCCGAGCTGCGTAATCCCGACGGCCGAGCGGACACGGAGCCGGGCGGTGCAGGCGGCGGGCGGACCCCGACGGGCAACGCGGCTCGGAGTGCGGCTGCACCGCCGTCGCCGCCTCCGTCGGGGCTCCGCGCCGCCCGCGGCCGTGTGAGGTACGGGGTTGGCGCAGCCCCGGGCGGTTCGTTGCCTCCCGGCCGGTCCCGAGCACGGGGCGGGGGATCGGGAGGAGAAGGGGAGAAAAAAAGAGGGGTGGAGAGAAAAAAGGAAAAAAACAAAAACAAAAACAAAAACAAAAAACAAACTGCGACCGGGCGGTAAATAAATAAATAAAGCGGCGCCCGGCCCCGGCTCGGGGCTTTGTTAGAGAAAATTGCGGCTCGATCTGCATAATGGGAACTCGGGCCGCCCAAGGCTATCTTTTTATTGCGTGTGTGTCTGCTGTTATCAATTTTGTGAACGATTTCACAGGGAGCCTGGCAGACTTGAGCTGGAATAATATGCAAAGATGAGCTCTGAATAATGAATGATGTGCTTTTAAACCAATTCCAAAGTGTCTGTGATAGTACAATATGAAAAGGGGTGGTAAGTAATAGTATATTTAAAAGGCGCTAGTATGTTTTTATTACTATATTTAAAAAGATATCTATATTATTTTTGTGAAATGGATAATATATCACGGAGTCTTTGATAATCAGCTAAACAATACATTTTTCTTTGGGAAAACTCTCCCGGTTTTACACAGTTAAATACGGAGTGTCGACGCACGGCGTTGTACCGCTCGGCGACTTGATTAAATATTAACTCTATTTTAATATTAGCTTTTAAATTTAATATGTTGACGTTCTGCAGTTTTACTTTAATTACGTTTTATAATTAATAACCCGGGACGTACGGTATCCTTAAATGCGGCTCTCCCGCTGCCTCCTCCGCTGTAACCCCCCCCCCCCCCCCCCCACCCACACACACACAGGGCGAGACGGTGCCGCGCAAACCCCGCGCAAACCCCGCGCAGCCGCTATTTCCACACCCGCCCCGACGGCGCGGCTCTGCCCCGCTTCGGCCTGGGGGGGGCGGCGGATACCCGCAGCGCGGCCCCGACGGCGGGCGGCGAGAAGCGGCCACGCGCGTTACGGTGCCGCCGCAAGGAGCGCTCCCCGCAGGACGAGCCGTGCGGCTCCGGTGCGCCCGTCTCCAGCAGCGCCTCTCCCCGCGAGCACCTCCGCACAACGGCAGCGGTGCGGAAACGAAACCCGCAGCAGGAAGATGCCGGCATCTGTCCGCTCCCCCGGGATCGCCGGGCGGAGTTGCGCGGGTAGCCGGGGTACGGCTCGATGTCCGTCCTGCGAGATCCTCGGTGGGAAGTTTGTTGTCGTAACGTGAGCCGAGTGAGCCGCGACACCTGTCTTATTTAATGCTTACCGCTAATTATTTGTAAAGCGTTTGGTTTCTAAGGTGAGAAGGAACGATGTCTGCAAAGACACCGAGAGAAAGCGCCGCAGGACTCCCCCGGCACTCACAAACCACGGGCACGTCGGTGCCACCGCGGAGCTGCGCGGCTGAGCGCAAGCGGGGCCGGCACCCTGGAGCTGCCGCTGCCCCTCAGCTCTCTCCGCGCTGCTCCGTGCTCCCGACGCCCGCCCTGCACGGCTCCACGCCTCGCGCTGCCCCTCGCGTGGGGCCCGCGGCTGCCGCGGCACCGGCACCGCACGGAGCGCATCTCCCACCCGCTGCTAAGCTGGCCGTCCCGCCGCCGCCAAGAAATCCCGCTCCTTTCAGGGCACTGGAGGCACTGCCTCATCCCGGGTGTGATGCTCCGCTGCTCGAGGCCGCGATTCAGCATGCAGGAATCCACGCGTTGCCCCGAGGACCGGTTCTGCTCCCGTCCCAGCGGGCCCCAACTCATTCCGCCGGGCTGCAGGGCTGTGAGGGCCGCGCTGCTCCTTCAGGCGCCGTCTTTGCCCGTGGAGCGGCACAGAACGGCCCGAAGATGGGGCGGGGAGAGGAAGGGCAGCCCTGGGCATTGCAGTCTGGCTGAAGGGGAGAACCCGAAATACCCCCCAGGGCAGCAGCTGCAGGCGGTGTGCAGCCCCGGACACCGAGCGTGCCCTGATGGCTTCAGCTCACGTTTGGGCACTTCTATTAGGAAAGGCAAAACTTTTAGTTGCAAACCCGCGTCTCGGCCCACCAACACCCCAGTGGGATGAGGAGGGAGGGAAGGAAGGAAGGGAGCCGAACGGAGAGAGCGCAGAGGGTGACGGGCAGATGGGGCCCGGTGCCTCTCTGCCATCTCTGATAACATCAGGCTGAGCCGGAGCCGGCGGGGACGTCCCGGCAGCGCTGCCGGGCATGGACATCTGCTCTGCTGTGCACGGTGCGGGCTGGGGCTGCCGAGGTGCAGTCGGTCTGTGCCAGCCTCTCCTAATTCTTATTTGCCGCACCAACCTGCACTCGCTGCCCGATTCTTACACTAAATATGACTTTGTTGGGCAAATCGCATTAGGGTGGATGCTGCAGGTATCCATTAAGGTTTATTTATCGTGATACAGGTTGGATCTCATGCTCATAAATAACTTATGTTATGGCTTTTGTTTGTAGAAATGTAACTTACATATTTTATTACGCTTTCTGTAAACCTCAAACAGAACGCTGTCAGAGAAGCACTCCTAACGGCCGCCTAAACTGTGGTACATCACATCCACACCAACATTATTTTTTAATAGGGCAAGGAAGCGCGTTACCCCTCTGCAGTTTGAAAGGTTCGCTGTCATCGTAAACTCCAATAAAGCATTAACAAGTCTAAGGAGCTGCTTTACAAAGTGTGCACCGCTCGTGGCTGAGCTTCTTCAGAGCCCCCGGTGCCAGCAGGACGGTGCTGGGCTTTGCTCTCCCTGTGCCAGGGCTGCTCTGCTCCTCGCAAGGCAGGCGCTCACCTGCAGTGCAGCTGTCGGTGCCTCACTGTAACCACAGAAAATGCATCTGGGGGAGAATCAGAGCCGTTCTGCAGTCCCAAGCTGTCAGCAGAACAAGACAGACTTGCACTGCTTTCTCGAGAGGAAATCACTGGGGGCCGAATGCAGTCTCCTTCCTGATGTTTTCTCCATCCATCGTTTCCATTTTTTTTTATTTTTTATTTTTTTTTCCTTAAAGTACAAAGAAACCCCAAACCCCTTAAGGCAACAATGCTTTTAACCAACCAGGCATCACACATCCTTTGGAGGCATAGGAGGAAAGTCTGGGCTGTGCCCACTTTGCCAGTGGCCTTCTCAAGGCTGACAGCACAGACTCTCAACAAAGGACCTGGAGTCATAAAACACACTGCTTGTTCTGCCATCCATCTCCAAACCAAAAATCAAGCCTGTTTATACGACCAGCTTCTCTAAAGAAGGTCCTGCTGTCAGTTGTTAACCAAAGTTGGAATGCTGCTCAAATACACACATCCAGTTTGCCCCATTTACAAGATGTGAGTTGTGGGAAGCGTTAGAAGCGGAATTCGAGGAGTGCCACAGAAGGCAGCAGCCTTATGTGAACGCAAGCCTTGAGTCTGAACGCTGAGCGACGGGGACACACGGAGCTCTGCTTTCCACCATGCCCAACTTCTGCTCCCAGCAGAGCCACTAACAAACCAGCACGAGGACTGGGCGCTGAGCACAGCCGCTTTCATCCGAGCCTCTAAATGCCAACGTGGGGCTGGGAGGTGATGGAAAGTTTCAACAGCAAGTTACCCAGAGCCCTGGAACCACCTGCAGGGGAATGGCAGGACCTCCCTCTGTCAGACGGACACGGCTGCACACACAGCAGGGAATGGCTTCAGCCTGTAGAACCTAAGAGTGACAACTCGTTTCCTCATTGCACAGGCAACCAATTATTTGCCTAAGGAAAAAGAAAGCCCAGCCCAATGCCAACAGTATCTAATTGCACGGAATAGCTTTTGTATGTTGTCAACTGATCGACTTATTACTTAAATAGTTCTGATTCTTGTTAGATCTTGCTTCATTCATCATTGGCACCCTGTGCCCACCTCAGGCCCTTCACTGTGCTGCACAGAGCAGTGCTGTGTGTGTGTGTACTGCAGACCCAAGGAGGGCTTCTGGTTGGTACACACCGAGCTCTTCACCACCTCTGAGAGGTGAAGACAAATCTGCCAAGTTTGCTGGTTTAGATGCATGTATTCATCTTCATCGTGCCAGAAGCCATGTAAGTATGAGCGATACGTCTTTGGATCTACTTGCTTTTTTTTGTTGGAGTGGATGCATTTAATCCTGTTTAAACAGCATCATAACATTTAGCAACTTCTTTCTGCCCTGGATTCCCCCTCTCCCCATTTCCAAGGACCTGGAAAACTTGTGCTGGTGAAATTCAGATCCCACCAGTGTTTCACTAACGGCAGCTCCATCTGCTCTCTTACATTATATGCAACATTCTTAATTTCCTGGCCATACTTAAGAGTCTAAAGTGCTCACCTGTAGTCTTCCATCTCCTCATGCACACTGTCATGCTTTTTGGTTAAGTACTGTTTGTACACTGTTTCATAAAGATAAAAGAACAAGATAGTAAATTTTGCTAAGAGAGGTAGAAAATGTTGACTTCACATTGCTTTCACTATTGCAAAGCCTTACATTTATACCAGAGATATAGAATAGCAGAAGTTAACTAAAAAAGTAGTTTCCGCAAGGGTCAAAATCTAACAATATAACAAGGCTCCAAAGCTTTCAGAATAGATTTATTAGCCAGCTCTGCTTTCCCCAGTCCTTGTCAGCTCTTCATTCCCAAGCTGCCCGCATCGGCCGCCCCTTCACTGTGCAGCACCTCAGCCACGTCCCTTCAGAACACTGACACGTTCTGGGTGAACCTGGGCAGAAGAAAACCCAACAGCTGGTTAGGAGAGACTTGACATTGATCTCAGTAAGTGGTAAAAAGAATAACGAAGATGGAAATGGAATCGAAAGAAGAACAGAGGAAAATGGGGGAAAAAAAATCACCACGTGCTCTCGAAAAGAGCTCTGCAATACAGCAATGAACTCAGAAGCGTATTTGGACAGCATTACAAACAGCCTACCAATGGTCTGAATCACACAAATCTGCTGGGAACTGAATGCAATGAGGACCCTGATCCAGACCCTCCCCAGCCTCTAGCAAAGGGCTCTCTGGGATGCACCCAGGTGGTCACCAACTCCAGGCTGCCCCGCTGCCACCACCCTCCTCACGTGAGACACTGCACCAGCACCCACCTGGCACAGAACTTCATTGCCATTTATCACATACTGCTTGTGTGCTTAAAAAAGTATTTTAAATGTCAGGAAAATATATAAGCACGCTGTATTTAAGGTCTCTGGGTCATCTTTTGTTTGTAGCCTCACTGCTCTCTGCTTTGATTGTCAGACTTTGCTGGTTTGCTAGAGCAAAGCTAATAAAGTTTGCCAAAGAATGGCTCCTTGGGGCTCCTTCTTGCACGGGGCTGCACGGACAGGTGCTTGTGGAACTGACGTGAGCTCAGGCCAGGTCTCCTGGCAGGAACAGGGAAATAATCCTTCCTGCCTACCTCCACAGCACTGTATTTGATGAGTATGCGTAACTGCAGTGTGGTAAAGTGTGTGGAAATACAGGATGCAATTATGAGTTCATTCTTTATTCTATTCATAATTTTTTACTTTTTTGTTTATTTCCTTACTAATGGAAATTGATTTCTGCTCAAATTTAAACAATCACCGTTAAAAGAAGCCTCCTGTTCCACAGAATAAATCAGACAAGGATTACGAATCAAGGGCTGAAAACAGAACGACCATGTATTAACTCATGCTGCTTGCTGGGAAGTGATGGCTTAGAAGTCTTCCTAAGTTAGACAGGCGGATGCTACCCAGACAGACGAGCTGCTGTCTGACCGAATTATCCCCGTCCCCCTCACACCTGCACCCACCTCTCCCTGCTGCAATTCTACAAAAGCTCCCCGAGAGCTTCCACACCACCGCCCATCTGACAACGCTCCACAGAGCTCAGAGATGAAAATACGCTTTAAATCTACATATATGTAAATCTAACGCTTGCCAAATCTAATCTTTGCCAGCAGCCCTCATGATGGAAGCCCCTGTCTGCTCCCTGAGCAGGGAGGGCAGGGAGAGGAGAGCCACATCCCTGCTGCCTGGCTCATGGCTGGTGTGGGGGGCCCAGCCTCCTGCCATCCCGCCCCCCTCAGCCCACACTAGCACATCCAGCAGTCCCCTTCTGCCCTTAAAGTCCAGCTTCTAGGAATAAGGCAGCTCAGAGAACCTGCACATCAAAGCCTGCTTTCCTCCGAAAACTGTGTTATCTGAAGGACTTCTTGCCTTCACTAAAAATAAATAGACACAGAACTAAGAAACTATCAATTTCTAGCAAAGAGTTTTGCTCAGTTCCTCATCTGTTCATGTTTCTTCTCTTTCTATGTGGTTTTACTTATTTACATAATCCAGAAGGACTTTTGAGTCAAATGACTCCCCTGGCATTCACAGCTGCAAAGTCAGCCCATGTCCTACAGCTCACCACCATCAGCTCCGTTTTTCTTTCTTTAATGGGCACTCCTGTCCTTTCTGATGCCTTTCTGCCTTTTCCCCCCAGTTTTCTCCCAACCCAGAACAAGTCACACAAAGTCTGTCAGAGTTACTGCCAAGGATGTGATCTGCGCTCCTCTGGGTCCACTTCCAAATCCCTCTATCTCTGCCTCTCATCGATTGTCAGGCCATAAGGAACTTGTTTTAATACTGGAATTTAACAGGAAAATGAAACAAAATAACAGAGTCCAAAATCAATGCAAAACTATGTAAGGACTAAAAAATAATCACCAATTTTCATAGCAACAAAGAGAAAAGAAGTTAGAGAAATAAAGTCAGCAAATGGTCCTAGTCATTCTGTCCAAGACATTCTGCAGGTTGTTTCAGGCCTTGCAGGGAGCCCCGCAGCCGGGACTTTGATTGTGTCTCCATAATTTCAGGGTTTGTTTTGGCAGAGTAATGCACACAGACCACAGGGCCAGAGCCACCCGGTAACAAACAGGGAACATTCAATGCTGACAGGAGAAACGCTGAGTCTGCCAACTTCCACTCTGCTTTTCGACTGAGGGCAAGATTGGTTGACTTTGTGATTCGTGTTACCAGAAAAATTACCCTTGCCATGTTTACCCACAGATTCAGGCTCCAACTGCTCAGTCTAGGGATAAGTCCTTTTATGGGGAATGACCCTTCTTTCTCAGGGAAGTAATTCATGGCTACTGATGTGTTATCAACTCACCAGCCTCTGTTCTTCACTGAAACCTTCTGCTCAACTCCCTTCATGCGGTTCCTGAAGCACTGCTCAAGGACTTGCTGTGTGCTGCCAGGCTGGCTGTTTATCAAAGTTGCCCTCAGCTCACTGAAGTACTGTGATAAAGAAACAGAGAACTTCAGGAATGTGATTTGGAAGTTTAAAGCCAGTTACTCACCTGCACCAGGAGCATTCTTGAACAAAGCTTCACAGGCTGCTCTCTGTGAGAGGAGCTGGGCAAACTGCAAGCAGATTTAGGTGTCCTGAGCCACAACAGCTTCAGTCCTATCTCACGACTACAATTTAGTGAGGGGCCACTTTCTGAGCTCCAACACATGAAGCCACCTGAGAGAGGTGATATAAATGTTCCTCGACTCCTCTTTAAGTCTTTTTTGAATGGTGCAAGTTTGCACATCTCACTGCAGGATCTCATCCACTGTACTGCTGACATGAGACAGACTCATCCTTGCTTCTTTAGAAGCTAGGCATTCTATGACATTTTCTGTATTACTATATCCACTCTGTCCTGGTTAATCTACAGACTAGTTAAAATAGAACTTTTTACCACCTTTGGACAAATTTTGGCTAGCCTAGCAATAAGGAATGGGATGCAATCTCCAGAGTCATCAGCTACCCTATTCCTGTAGCCAAAGAAGTTGTATAATCCTGTTTAGTGTTTACTGTACTGACTACATAGACCAAAGTCTTCTGGCCTTGGGCATAAGCACATCCACAGTATGAACACTGAGAGAGACAACTATTCAGAGGTGAATGAACTATTCTGGCAGAGGTTCACAGCATTCAAGAAGGATATTGCTGGTGGTCTCCACCCCATTCTACAGTACCTTCCCCACACCTCATCATTCGAGAGGCAGGATAGCAGTTCCGTCCACAGACACTGCTACAGAAAGTCCCACCAGTCCAAGTTTTACCATCAGTAACCAAGTCAGACATATAGAAGCCACTCTAAAATGAATGTGGCCTTTTGGTTCAAGAATGACAACAGAAATTAAGAGGTAAAAGCTTAAGCGACCACACTGACAACTGCTAAGCTAGTTTGGTCAAAGGCACACGTCCTGATGGAGGAAAGCCTAACCTCATCTCCACATTTCAGTTGCACATCAAGAAAACTCATTAAAAGAAGGCTGAAAAGAGTTTCTAGTATGCAAAATGTTAACAGCCTTTTGAAGTTAATGCTAGGCAAAAAAAAAAAAAAAAAAAAAAAAAAAAAAAGATACACCAGGGTATCATACAGATAGCCAAAATGCATGCCAGGGATTTGTTTAACACCTCAGTTTAAAACCAGTTAAATTTCAAACATGAGCTTCCTTCTGACCAAAAATGCAGCTCTCTTATATTAATGCAAAAATACGAGAAAAGAAAACGTAGTAAAATCAGGGCATTCTAGTTTTAAGCCCATGACAACTCAGTAGGATGATAGGAATACTCAGAGCTGAGGCACTGGCACAGGTCTCCCAGAGGACCTGTGGGTGCCCCATCCTTGAGGTGCCCAAGATTGGGCTGGATGGGCTCCTGGGCAGCCTGATCTGGTGGGCAGCAATCAGCCCATGGCAGAGGCTGGAGATACGTGGGCTGTAAGGTCCCTTTCAACCCATTCTATGATTCCACGATAGGAAGTGAAAAACCAGCCCCCAGTCCAGCTCCTTTCAAAACAGACACATCCTGTATCACACTTCCGTGCTGGTCGCTACAGCACCTGCTGATCAAATAGCTGACATGTGAACTCAAACTTGAAAAACACGTAGGCGTAAAAGACGAAATATCTGTCTGCAACAAACACGTTCCCCAAAGCATTCTCTCAAGGTGACAAATGCAGAGTTCAGTCTAGAAAAGGCTGCAATCCTGAGATCCTCTCTGGTACTAGAGGTACAGAGGTGTTCCAAGAGCTTCCTTCATCAACCCCACAACAGAAAGTCTTACCAATACCCTCCCTAACAGCAAGGAATTACATCTCTGTCCAACAACCCCGCCGACAGCCTCCTCTCGCATGGCATGGCTGCTCCAGCACTACAGAGCTGCTCTGAGCCCAGGGGCTTCTAGGGCTTCTCTGCAATAACATCACTTCTGCCCATGCACACACATGCTTGTGATCTTCTTTGTTGAAGAATAGCAAGAAGGAGATGCCAGGATTCTGGCTGCCATCAGGATTTAAATTAAACTTGCTGCCTCACTTTGGGAGAGGAACGATGTCAGGAGCCACTGGAAACCATCTCATTTGACAGCAAGCTGATGCTGTCTCAAAAGATTTAGCATTGTTTTAGGGTGGGCTCTGTATACAACTCCCATTTTGGCATAACTCAGCCTATAAGGACAAGCAAGTATGAATCCTAGCTATTCTGAGTCCCCAGGTAAACCTGCCGCCTTCCCTTTGAGACGAACTATCAGCAAGGGAAGTATCATTAAAACGAAAGTAGACGAGAACAAACAATAAAAGTAAAATGTGGTTAATGTGTGCTTGCTACCAGAGGAACTGTACAGACTGATACCCCACCTGAAATAAAGCAATCTGCTTCCAATAAATAAGCTGGCGGTGTACCGAAACGAGCCGAGGAAAGATGACTCTTACAGCCACATCTAAGTACATCACCTACTTTTTTCTGAACACAAAATAATATGCTCCATGCAAAACGGGCAATGCAAATACTGTAAATTATATTTCCTGTTCTCCATCCTTCCAAAAGAAATGGAAGGCTTGCTGATAAGTCACGGCGCTTGTACGTACCTGTGTCTGCTGAGCAAAACACATAATCATTAGAACCAGCCTAATTTCAGTAAAAAGAATATTCTGCCAGTCACAAATTTATTTCTTGTGATTTACAGCTCCACAATTTTATCTTCAAGTGAAATATTTAATTTCTTCTCATACGGAAGCAGCTAACATCAAAAAACACATAATTAATATGTAGTCAGGCTAATACTTAAACGCTATAAATCAGAAGCATTATATAAACAAAAGTGTCGTCTTGAACAAGATTGGGAACGCACAAAGCTACTTATTTCCCACTTTTATAATGATGCAGTGACTCAGAGCAGATAGAAAATGATTAGTTTTCCTTCCAAAGTAGGAAATATTGCTTCCATCTGTAAAGTATAATATTGTGATGTCATAAAGTTTTCCTAAACACTGAATTTGCCCTTATTCCCTCTCAATCATTTTAAAAGAACTGCTCTCTCTTATAGAGCCTGGATTTAAATCACAATAACACACCAAGAAGATGAATGACAGTGCTATTGGATATGGCTAAAATTGGATCCTTCAGCACAGGTGAATGATGAGACAGCGCTTCTCTTCTTGATATATTTTCTTCTTCTATTAGTTTCCTTCCATAGCTGGGATTTCAGTTTGAATTTTAATGTATGCAGTTGCTGCTAATCTTAGTGTCTTATTTTTTTCCAGCACCCTCTTATTGTATAGACAATTCATTCTCCAAAGCAGTAATACACTGAGGCTTGTGACTGCCCAAGATATAAAGCAATTCAGAATAAAGTTAGAGCCAGCTCTGAACTGTGGCAAATACAACAGGTCAGTATCTTCAGGAACAATGCCTGGCTATACAAAAAAATGCACACATTTAGATCGATTCGCATTCATTTACTCAGATGGTTTCCATTTCTGACAATATTGTCTCTATTAAGTCACAAGGGAAACATGATGGGTATATCCAAATTCATAGTTTCAGATTTTATTGAAAGGGCAAATTGCAGAGTATTTCCTGGTTTATATGATTTGCCACAGATGAACACAATCCAAATTGCAATCAATGCTGGTACTTAAGTGTAAGAGCTCAGATAATATCCTCAAAGCTGCTTGTTCCTGTGAAACCTTTCAGAAAAAGGAATTGGTTAACTATTTTTCTAGGAAGCAATTTTTTTCTGACGTGATTTCCACAGTGTTCTTGTTTCAGTGCTGCATCTAAAAGCCAGATGAGCTTGCCTATCATTTCTACCTTATTCTGGAAAAACAAAGATTTAAAATCTATTAATAATAATGATAAAAAAAAAAAAGAGGTTTGCTATATTTGCATTATCTAAGATTGGGTGTAAAAGTTGGAGTAAAGTTTGAGAAGATTCTCTCATCAGCCTTTGTGAACAAATCTGTAAAATATTACCTGGTACATGAGCTGAGCTTTACTTTAGCATGGGGCTAAGTGAGTTAGGTTCCAGGGAAAGAGGAAGGGGATTTGAAAGAGCCACAGGCAGCTTTGTTCTGAAGTGAAATAATGATTTCAAAGAGTGCACCTGGAAGAACCTCTTAAATGCTCACCTTCCCATCTAGAGCTGTAAGTCCAAGCAGTGGTCCTGACACAGACCGTTGGTTCCTGCAGTCTTCCAAACTGATGGTGTTCGTTAGGATTGACATCATCTGAAGGAAAATTCCAACAGTTTGGCGATCAGGAAAAATTAACAAAGCCTTTACTAATCATGCTGGGATTCCCTGGATGGGCACAGTATCCCAAAAGTCTTTCTTCCAAACAAATATTTCTGTAAGCAGAAATACCAGGTGAAGAAATGAAGAAAGTGAATGTTAAAGCTTAGCTCCGAGGTCATAATTACAGAAGTGAAAACAAATAGGAATAGAAACTTAAAGTTGTGTTTATTTAAGGTACAGATTCACTTATTGGACAGTAATATGTGTGTGGTCAGTAATCTGTGTTTGTTTCAGATTAATTTCAAGGTGCTATTCAAGATCCTGGTTTTCTCACACCCACTTCCTCCTTCTTGAAAGGCATTTGATGATGAAGGTAATCCTGATCACAGCAAGGCATCTACAAATCTACATCAATTGCAAGGCAGTTACAAATCCAAGTCTGTGGTTTTGGACATTTTATTTCTGTTACTTAACTTACAGAGATCTACAGCATGCATAAAGCCACTTGATCAACTTTACAAATCACTGAGACCTATCAATCCATACAGCTAAGCTCTTTTGGCTCTCAAGCAGAAGACAAGTAACTCTGTTGGCTGGCTGTAACAGAGCCTTTGGCTACCACCACAACAGGTATTCTCCCCCGGGGTCTCCTGCTGTGCATCTACACTGCTGGTGTGTGTAGTTAGGGAGGGTGGGACTTATTTCAGGGATCAGCACCACTTTTGTAAAAATAAATCACAGAAGAGCTGTAGAATCCATTTAAAGACAAAATCCGCAAAGATATCCTGGAGACACAGCAGTCCCAAATGCCAAAGGCCATAACATATACGAATCTAAAAACATTACTCAAAGACTAAACAGAACGAAAATTTGTAGAATGTCACCAGTAAGTAGTTTGACTCAGATTTATAAAATATCTACACCCTAAAACCAAACATAGAAGAAGAAAATCATTAAATCCTTTCTTTTAGGCCAACGAGAAGCTATGAGCAGGGTCTCCAGAGAGCTGCCACACTACAAACTCGCCTGTAATAACTGACCAAGGCTAAGTCAAACAGCATGTTTCACTAAATGAAAAAGATGAATCCTAGCACTACAAATCACCTGCAACAGAGATATCCACAAATTATTTGAACTTTCAAGTTAGGAACATAAGGTCTGACGAGGGAAAGGCCCATTTTAATCCAGACTCCACAGTTTTACATCAGGCAAAGTATCTTCCATTACTCCTAGGACAAAATCACCTCTGCGCTGCTTTGCAAGTAGTGCAAGCAATCCAAATATCTCTGTACAAGCACTTACCAGGCACAAACAATAATTACAGCTCTTTATATGTAGGTTGCTCCAAAAGTAACGTGTCCTATTTATTTCTCTGGAAAATATAACAGATACATAGAGCACAATAACACTACTTCACAGAGCAAACTCTCAGCTACAGAACACCGTTTTTCCACATAATCACCACCAGTAGCAATGCATTTTCACCAGCAATGAACAAGAGCCTGCATGCTATGCCTGTAACAATCTGCACCAGCAGATTGGTGACCCACTGCTACTGTCACCACTGCTGTAACACAGCACCCACCCCTCACTGTGCTCACATCTGCTGTTTGTTCTCCATAAACGTACAGCAAGCATCAGTGAATGTCAATGGGTGCAACTTCTTCCACATGGAGGAATTCAGTTCCACACCTCTGCTTCACATGCAGCTGTGTCACCACCAGTGCTGTCGCCTTTCTACAAGGTCGCCTCTGTATAAAAGAACTGCTGGGACTTATGGCATCAGCTCACTAACATGAAGAAGGCTTACCACCTGCCTGTGAGTGTCCCAGGACAGTGATTTATGCTTTTCTTGAGGTTACAGAAGTCTACTGCTTTCAGAGATGGACAATTTGCAATCCCACCGTGTTGTCTCTGCAGACGTCTTACAAGTCCCACTTCTCACAAGGCTAAAGAGAAGCCCCTTAGGTGTACAGCTCAGCAGTAAGAGATGCAACAATAAATTGGGGCAATCCTGCCTACTGCATCGAAAGTTGTCAGGAGTGCATTACAGCAGAAGCCATCAGCAATCACTGTGCCTAATGCCATCAAGATGAAGAGCACTAAAATCCATGATAACAGCCTCAAAAGTCCTCTTGTTTTCTATGTCTTTCCATCACAACTACTGCTACTGCTGCTTTGTTTTACTGTGCAGCAAGGTTTCCTGTGCTATTTCTACGTGAGCCTACAGCAAGCTGTCAGCGTTCCAGATCCTTCTTTGTTTTACAGTACTGCTGACACACACCAAAAGACACTGTGCCCACGAACAAGCACATGGAGGTCACCCCTGCTGCACAGAACTCAAGTCTAAGCGATGCTGACCAAACAACCTTGTCTGCAAGGCAACAGAGCTAGTCTAGACGAGGCTCATGGTACTTCACAATGAAGCTCTGCCTCAGCACACAGCTCGTTTACTGGCAGAAGTACCAGGCTGCCACTTAATTTCGCTAACTCCACCCCATACCCCTCTTGTTTTCACACAGCACAGATCAGCTCCCTCCCACGCTGACAAACAACATCCCCAGCACCCTCCCCCAAACCTCACACGGCCCTTATCTGGCTCCATTCCCACTAGCTCGTGTCATCAGGAGACACAGGGTGTGAGGAAATTTCCAGGTACACAGCTCCGTCTGTATGGCCATTTCTGTCGTTCAGGTCACAAAGGAGCTGGAACTTGGCTTGTGGAGGACCTTGGAAACAACGCGCCTCTCCCTTTGTATTTGATTTGCATTTATATTTATTGGTATTTATGATGCAACACACACAGAGCAACGATGATGGCAATGTTATGGTGCTGCAGTGTTGCCCACCATTTGAGCAGCAGGATGGAGGCAGCCCCAGGCCCTGCTAGCTGCCGGCTGGAGGCAGGCGAGGGGCAGCAGGCAGAAAGCAAGGCTTGAGTTGGGGACAGAGCAATTGACAAAGAAGGGGCTGCAGAAGCAGATAATGTATTTCCTGTGGAGTTCAAACTGCCACCCTTGTCTCTGTCCTCTTATCTTAAATGTAAGGCATCGCTTTATCTGGTTCAATAATGTTTCTTCTGACACATTTGTTCTGTACAAAAGAAACTATTGACAGAAGAGGCAACAGAAAAGAACTGCTCTTCCAATAAATTAATTCTTCAGAGCCTCTCTGCCTTCAGAGCTGCTTTCTCTCTGTAGCGCTGGAGGAAAACGTGGCTCAAGACACCCCTTATTCTGATTTCATTTTTCTAAAGAAGCTGGGAAAGAAGCTGTCTTTCCATTAAAAAGGTTCTTCTGCTGCTTCATGTATCAGTACAGCACAACTAGCACCAAGCAGGTCCTGTAACTCACTTCTCTCTCCCATGCGTAGGGATAAATATTCTATTCTAATGCCCCTAATCACATTTTTAACGTAAAGAAGGTTACATTAAAAACTCTGACAGCGTTAAGTAGAGCTTCACAAAAGATCCAGAAGGCTCTAAAAACACACAGGTTTTGACCAGGCTCTCGGCTGGTGAGAACAGATCTGATGTTCCAGTCAGATCTGAAAAAGATGCCCATTTCATTGTTTAGCTTACACAACTTGGTAGATTTTATAGCTCTAGCTTCAGGCAGTCTGCTCTTAATTTAGGAGCTGTGATTACTAATTTAAATGTCCGTTAGAGTTCTCAGTTCTTTCATCATCAATTCTTTCTATATCAATAAATGGATCATCATTCAACTAATAATATTCAGAGGATTTAAATGCTCCAAGATTATTAAATACCTTAAATTTTAATCTGTTGTTTTAAAATATTTATTTTACTAGAAAGCCTAACTTTCAGATTGATATTTTCCACTTCGAGTCTGTTCAAAAAATAACACTTCCAAATGAAATAAAAAAACTAAAGCCTTGTATTTATTTTGAAAGTAAGAACAAGTCAATCACTCCTGAACTAAAAAATACTTTTCACTTGTCACAAATAGAAAATCAATTGGAATTTGAAAAATGTAAAAGTTTAAGGGCATATAATTCCTACATCTATGTATATGTGTGTGTATATGTATTTAAGTATACATTACTACAATTATTTGACTCAACAACAGAAGCTTAAGAAGCTGCAGGAAAGTCTTAGAATAAGACTGTAAAGAACCCAAACTTGTATCTCAACTTTTTGTTTCCTTTTATGAAAACAGCACCAAGGTTTAAACGGTCAAATGAAAAACAATGAAAAAAAAAAGGCAGGGCATCTGGGTGACACACCTCATGCCAACAACTCGTATGTATCTGCAGCTCATGAACCGAAATGTGATTAAAGTGTCTGGATCTCTCACAGGGTATTCCTACCAGTTATCTGTTATATTGTGCAGAGAGAGTCTTTTTTTAAAACCGGTGTTCAGAAGGGATGGAAAAGATGGCAACAGATGTGAGAAAGGGAACAGTTACAGAGCGTGGAACTCGTCATTTTCCTGGATATGTCTTTAGAACTGGCCAAAGGGCTCTAAGTATGGGAGTGCTCACTTGAAGTAGGTCCAAATCACAAGCTAGAAGAAATAATCACACAATAAGATTGTACTAACTTATGTCAAACCTGTCTTTGTATCTGAAAAAGAAACATAAGCACATACTCAGAAAGATACATTTAGGATGATAGCTTAAGGCTAATGACAAGCACCTGCAATGCGCCCAATAAATTTACTATACCAGAGCCACTGAAAACAGCCTTCTATTTCTTCACTGTTAAAATAAAGCTGGCACAATAACACAGACCAATAGGGCAAAGCAGACTTTTCAAAACTAAGGCTTGCTTCCAGCACTTCCTACCAGTAGTGAGTCAGTACTGAGTGCCTTTCAGGAAGCCACCAGGATCCCAGCAGCTGTCTGCAGTGCGCTAGGATGTAATGAGGGCAGAGCTGGAGCACAGGCAGCAGCTGCATCCTGCACACAAGCTGGCTGAAGCGAAACACTGCCCTATACTCTTCCCTCTAATTTGAGGACGTATTCTAACACGA